GAACGAGATATGCAGTTGAGTCTATCGTGAAAACCAAATTGATTTGCAAATGAGTGTATTTCTCAAAAATACGCCTTCCGCTGAACAAGCGGATCCAGACATTTTAACAAGCGCCATACGCTATGGAAGCATTTGTTTTAACCAAACGATAAAATTGAATCCGATCTGGGAGAAGTACTCACGAATGACGCAGCTTCGATGCGGAGGCAACAAAGCATCCCAAAGTGCGAGATTCGCTCCATCTTGATCTGCGCTGAAAACCGGGGAAAGTCCACCGGGGCCTGGCTGCTCACCGGAACTGACGTGTCCGGTCACATGGAGACCACCTGGAAGTGAAGGCCCTGCAGGTCCCGTACCCGCACCCACAGTGGCAATGAGACTACTTGATCCGACAAAACAGAAATCGGCCAATCCTTTCGCGTGACAGCGACAGCGCTGGAAATGGAAACGGTCGCATTAGTTTTACAACACCAAACATGGAGAGTTTTATACGGTATCCTAGTTCATCTTTCTGTAGCCTAGTAGCCTTCCAGGATGGGGACCGCGTGATCCTCACTGCGCCTGGTTGGAGACACTACAAGGCATGGCTGCCAACCGATGTCAGTGGCGTTCTTGTTGTCAGTTTCTATCCAGATTGCCTGAGTGAATGTCTGGAGGTGTAGGCACCTCGGAATGATTGTGTTAAGCTAGCACTAAGTCCCTGTACTGCGCCAAGTGAGGACTAGCGCCTATTGCTGTTCGGTTCCATATCTCCGGACCTGAGCGACTCATTCGTCAGGGGCCTCAAAGATACTCGCCTGCAAGACTACCCTATATCTCCCGAACAGATATGCTGAGCGAAACCGACAACCCCGTAAAATTCGTTCCTCACCGAGACGTACCACAGCAAGCATATAAAAAAGTGGGACTGTGAGAGTCTAACAAACAGGATGCTAGTGTGGGTGAATATGGATTTCCAATAGCGGTGTATATTGTCTAATGGGCCAATTGAGCGATCGTCGCCAACACGCGACTAATTGATGTGGATTCCGTGATTGAAGGACGAGTGGCGATATGTCCTGTCTAAGTGCAAGTTGACCACAATGTTGAGTAATCACTTGTGGCCGAATGTTCAAATGTTCAAACTACTAGAAGGATGGTCGCGGGTTCGAGACTCTCCGGAATCTCGTGAGTAATGCACTGGCAGTGAGGATGAAACAGGTGTACAGAGCTTCTCGGTTTTCTAGCATAGATCGGCTCCAGTTACAGAACGAACTCTTCAGTGAAAATGGGTTACCTCGTGGGGATGTGGGCGTGAAGAATCAAACAAAAGCGTGGGGAAAGTAAGGGCGTAAGTCATGTCAAAGAAGGATCAACTCAGGCTACTGCCTTCCAGTTAGCAAGACAGTTCCAGCTTAGAAATATCGACACAGGCGATAGAAAAATTAGTCTAAACGACACCACCTTGGATGATCTAACTGTGGAGGCGAACAAAACATACGAAAGTGAATAGGGATAAATTACGTGAGACTGAACCTGCGATGACAGTCATACCCAAGGGTTGGGACCTATCGCCGGACAAACGAACGTAACAGAGTAGCGCAAGAGTCTAATTATGCAGTAACACCAATAAGAGAAACATTACACCTGTCGTTCACCCTTTCGATGCCTAGCTGCCATGCTATCCGAAGAAAGCACGAGGACTAGGATACTGCCAGGTTGCCCAAACCTAGACAGAGGAAGTCGAGAGGCAGGTTCGAACCATGGACCTTCCGGTTAGTAAATTTGCGCTCTAACCACTTGAGCCATTGACACCCGTTACAACTAGCGGGTAATTTTGTGCCATTTTCTCACGAGCCTTAAAAACAACTAGCAAAACAAATGAAACCGACTCACGAAGTACGGTGGTTTGTCAGGAGTGGTAGTCTGCAAATTCCAGAGGCCAAAGTTACCATCAGCGTCACCACAACCGAACTGTAAAAGAACAGGGCCCAGATAAATAGATGAGCTAAAACCTCCAAAATGGAAGAGCAAGTACTGTTGCAAATAGTTTTCAGTTCTCCGTTATCACCCTGATAGATATGCTTAGGGAAACGGGATACTACGTCTGGGTTCAAAGTCCTACGATTCTTCAAAACAGGTTATAGTGCGGACAGCTGATTGGTAGCCATCGCGTTAGACCCTACAGCGGACCTGGCTGATGAGTTAGTAATAGGAGGCACACGGGTGACGATGGCTCAGAGTAAACACATTACGGAAGTGTGTTAACCTCATTCAAATCGCCGAGAATACATGATTCATAAGGTCAGGATGTGAGAGGGATGGTGCGATCATATTTGAACTGGGGCTTCTACTTTATATAGTTGTAATAACGGTAATACCTCAGCTCAGTTCTCGGTGTGGTCATGCCAAGCTAGCGTTTTCTATAGAAGAATCACCAAGGGGTATACAAAGTGTATTAAACACCGAAAAAAACATGTACAATGCAGTGTATTTAAAGTATATGCTATGCTGGAACGCGATTGACTGTTGTGTCCACACTCTCCACTAATTAGAGCACGCATTGATGCTGAGCCCGGCAGGCGGCCTGGGCTTCTGGACTATCACGTACGGGTTACGCTTACTGGCCGTTGCAGCACATAAATGCGAGTAGGTTTGGCACAGGATTCAGCTGTCATCCTCATTGGTCGGTGCCGGGAACCAGAACACCGATGCCCCATAGGTTTAACAATAAACGCTAAGACTGAATGTGCGGTTGTCTATCCATATTATAATCCAGAAGGCGTTGCAATAGACTCTTCCCAAGATCGTGCTACCCAAAACGTTTCAAAAACAAGTCTCATGTGCTCCAGAATGCTAGAACAGAGGGAGAAGCCATCTCTTACCCAAAGCATCACATTGGGAACCAGGGATGCCGACTATTCGGATTAGCAGTTTCCGTAAGTATGAACTGTGTGCAACTTACCCTACGACCGCTATGGTCAAAATGAAGTGCCGTTACTCGCGCACCACGTGACCCGGCAGGGACTTGTCCCGAAGCACCAGCTGGTGTCAAGGCATAGGTGTTTGTGAAACCAGCGATCAGCGGAATTGTGGTGGCCCATTCGAATAAGTGGACTGAACCTGTACCCGTTCCACTGAGGTCTGTGAGAAAGGAGAGAGAGAGGAAACACTTGTCGTTTGGAATTGAAACAGAAATCCTATTGTGATGAATGGACAATTGTTCTATAGACAACTCACAGTATGGCAAGATGGGATGAGACGCCAAACTGTACACGGCCGGTAGACTTCTTTTGAGAATCTGCAGTTGAGAAAAGTGAAAGAAAGTGAAGGGTGTGCTTGTTCGGTCGTACAGAGTGAGTATCATGCACCACGATGACTGTACTAGTTGACAACGACAAACAAACACCCTCGTCACATCACTCTCGTTTTTTTGAGGAAAGTCAAATCCAGCCAAAACAAAGATCCGCGTTGACAAATGTAATACAAACAGAACAAAACACAACAAGCGGTCCGTTAAATTTAATAACACAAGGCACTTCAATCACTCGTTCACGACTGTACTGTACGTGCAGAAACTCTTTGCTTTCCCTGAGTTTGAAGAACGCCCATGGAATTAAAACTTCAGGCTTCAGCAGAACAACACAGACAGTATGAGAAATTCCTTGTCTGTTAACGATACGGCCTAATCCCCTAAACAGCGCGCCAGGGATAGGGCGCCAGCAGTCAGTGACCCACAACATGACACGAGCTCAATGAAGTATACAGTATCGACCGATTCGAAGGACATTGTCAAATAGTTGAATTTCGGTAGATGTGTTTGACAATAAGTGATCGAATATGTCACACCGCCCATCTACGCAGCCAGCAGTAAATGAGACGGAGAAAACCACCCGCAGGTATTCATTATTATGAAAAAAACTGCCGTCAAGAAAGGCACCCGGATCTGTATAGTCGGTCTGACGGAATGAGCTTAGTTTCGGTGACGAACTACGGATATCAAGGGAATGACGGTACAGCAAGTGCTGTAATCGATGTAGCGTTTGCACAGCCCCTAAGTGGCATCAGGCGATGCATTAACATGGATTCGAACACCGGTGCGACGTCAGACAGGAGGGATGAAAGACGAAAGATGAAAGGGCCACGTAGACCACAGGAACACAGACTAATGTCATTTAGAATGAAGGTACAAGTAGTTACGGGAGCGCGAGCTGATCACTCGTGTAGAGCCACAAACCTAAGGCAGATCGTCCAAGAGCGTCACCGAATGTTCACGTCGCTTCGTAATAACAAAGGATCGTTGAGCAGCTAATTGAAATGTGAACGAAAACTAACGCAAATTATGAGTGCTACCTAACGTCAGCCTCAAACTCAATACCCTGTATAATAAACTGACCGAAAGAACCACAAACAATGCGCCAAATCAGAGCGAAACATTGCGCAATACAGGACAAGATTGTCAATGAGGGTTTTGGGATACTTCACAAAAGGCAGCGAAAAGATTCGCAGCTCTATCGTGAGGTCTGGAACTGGAGCAAACAAATATGATGAATCCTTTTGGCGAGAGGAAATTTCATGCAAGAACTGACGCACTCGGAAAACGTTGGACACACAAAGAGCCAAAGTATGGTATCCCTCAAGAGGTACCACCACAGGTAAAGATCTCTTCAAGGAGATACTATAAGGTAAGTGACGCTGAAAACGGTCATGAATTGAAATCGAGTTATTAGGCAAATTTCGAACGAATACCCCATTCCTCCACGCAACAGCGTGAAAAAAACCGTAGAGCTGTAGCACCCTTTCAGTGCCTAGCTGCCATGCCACCCGAAGGAAGCACGAGGGCTGGGATACTACCAGGTTGCCCAAGCCTAGACAGGGGAAGTCGAGAGGCGGAGGTCGGGTTCGAACCACGGACCTTCCGGTCAGTAGATTCGCTCTCTAACCACTTGGGCCATCTCGCCCCACAGCAGCGTGACCGAAAGCGTAATTAGCTCCGATATCCTGCCGTGGCAATAACCACTCGAGTTGATCCTGATCTTTTTCACCAGTGGAGTTGTTGCACGAAGACTGCATTCATCCAAGAGGTAAGTTATAGTAAAGTAGCTGGTCTCTCCTGAAGATCATCTCTCAGAAGGAGATCACACATTAAGTCACGGCTGATGGTAAGGCGCCCTATGGGACAGAACTCCCGTCGGTTCGGGGGTCCTTGGAAGGTTACCGCCCGTATAAGGGGGGAAAGCGTTGAGTCGAAATTACTTTGAGTAAAGTGTGGGCAACAACAGATCAACGCGGTGAAATGGACGAACAAAAATAAGATCTCGAAACGGGTACAACATGGAACGTGCGGTACAAACTCGTTGTTGGACGGACTGACCGTAGTAGCCAGGCGTCGACTTCTTTCCAGTGCAGGCTTAGACAATTGGACGGAGGTCGAATGTAACTGTAGCCCACGGAACTGTGTGGAAAACTACGATAATGGAAAAAGCAAGGGTTGGGAATTCGCGTACGTGAAAAGGAACAGAGGAAAACTCCCATTATCAGATATTCGCGGTGACAACTTTCCCACTTACCACATGCGGATGGCCGTGATCGGCAGTAGCGGAACCACTACCACCAATCTTACTCGAATGTGCGGTTGTCATGGGGCCAGCTGGAACCTCCCCTGTCGATGCGTTACCGGTGTATGGCGAATCCAAGATCACGAAATCGTCAGTGCCACCACCACCTTCCGTGTAGACATGTGGTTTGGGCCTGTTCAAAAAGTGCAACGAAATGTCACGGTCAGCGGCCGGAGACGAGCGGCGAAAAAAAATTCAAATAGTTGTAAATCATAGTGATTATGAAATGAAAGAAGTATATTAATACACACGATGACATTTCCATGAGTTATAAACAGCGTCCGAGGTTCTTATTTGCTCCAAAAGTATACACGACCACATAGAATTAGGTAGATTGTGCTGAAAAAAAACAGGTTTAAGTTTCCCGTCCCAGTTTGTGAAGCAGGGAACAGGTGTAAAGAGAATGGGAACGGCTGCTGTACACATCGGAGAGTGTATAAGAAGCAAACGAAGTTGTACGATACGATGTCAAGAATGTTCTTGCGATCGGTTTCTGTCCGGTCTAGTGTTTCACGGTTTGAGTACACTTCACTTCAGTTCTCAGTTACGGAACTAAATGTGGATACACTGAAACGAAACTGCGGTAGTCATCATCATCATCTAAGGCAGCAACGTCAGTGTTGACACTGAAGCTTCACTGCCGCGGCACACAAGCAAGCTGACGTTGGTGTCGAGCTCGAACCACCTACGCTCATTTGGTGAGCTTCGAAAGACTTCCTGTGCTGCTAAGCCTTCTGGGATATGACCAAATTTTGTCCAAACGTCGTGCACTATGTAAAAAGACAACTACATGAGAAATTCGCCACCAAGCTGTTGTTCATATACGAAGTTGCCAATCGAATTGTTTGCTCACCACTTGATATCGCTTTTCGGCTGTTTTGGCCTATCAAGTCTCTACCGTCGTTTCCGTAATTTGCAATCGCAGTGTGTCAGTTTGTCTTACCTATACAAAGCGGAATTCTCTAAACTGCTGCTACACTTCCTGTTCCCCCGAACTATGGGGCCAGATGGAACATCATCCCACGCGTCAGACTGTATCGGTGCCGAGGCTAGTTAAGACCTAGGATAATTCCTTCACCGCGGTGGGTGCAGGAGAGTCCGGTAACCACCTCACTCTGAGCACACTCTAAAAGCACCACACTTAACTGGCTCCAAGAATCACGGTTCATCTTCTTCCAAATCAGTCGTACAATTCATACACTCAACTGCCTAAGGACGTACGGCAGTGAAGCATCGGTGTTATGCTGTCGATGATGATGCCTAAGGATAGAGCTAAAGGATGAACGTCGTTCACACGTCATTCGTAAGCTTGAACCATTTTGTGATGCCTCGGCAAACATCATCATAGAATTATAGACCGATCCATGATTTCGACCGAAGTAAGTTTTATTGTTGTCTTCTTCCCAGGAGCATGTTACGCGGCGCGACTCGTTGAATGAACATGACACAAGGGACCACGAGGGACACGAATGTCTACCTAAACAATTAAGTAAACTAAAAAAAAAATGTGCCCACTAACCAACCTTCGCATTAGTTCCAAGTCGTATTCCACCTCGTCTGCGTACCAGGCAGGCAGTGTGACCAGATTTTCCACATTCAGTTCGATCACTTCCTTGGGAGTGGCGACGGCGATGTAACCATGATTCACCTTTAGAGAACAAACGGAGAGGGTCACTGTATGGGTCTGTAGGTGTGCGCGCACACACACAATTGACTGACGAACGAGTACGTGAACGAAAGAACACAGCAAACAATGAGGCGACGAGTCGCTAAACAGCCCTCCCACATAGTCAAAGGGGTTATGTGAGGACGAAAAGCACCGTATCGTTAGCTTGTACGTTTCAGCCTTACGACAGAAAACGACGGATTACTGAAAATCGTATGCAGTGAACAGCTTACAGGCTAAACTCGTTTGTCGTGCAGTAGTCCCGCAACCCCCTGCGTCGATTCACTGATGCCTTATAGGGCCATTCTCGTTCAGTAGATATCGGCTGCGTAAGTCTGCTAAGTACTTTCTACCGCAACTCTAGCTTGAAAACTTCAGCTATTCAGGTGGGGTGCAGCCATCAGGCGGTTCTCGTCAGCGTCTGAGCTACTATTATGGACTATTCGCAACCACTCATGTAACAGAAGAAGACCGATAGCGTATTTGAAAATGCTAACCAGTTGATGAATGCTGTTCGATGAACACGCTTTTAAGGCAAAAAGATAACATCCAGCCATTTGTGATTAGTAAGTAGACAAGTGCAAAGGACGCAACTACGACCTGGGAAAAACGTGAATAGGGACTGGTACAAATTTTCGTGAAGGAAACTACTCACAAGGTTGCTGAAAACTCTTCGACAGCCCACGACTGGTTTCCCCCCTTCTTGGGGCTCATCAGATAGGCATAGTCCCCGAGTTTCCGTCAACCTTATGTTCTACTTGAACCCAAATTAGACTGTTTTCGACAAATACACTCGTTTGCAAATCAATTTGGTACAAATCTGGCACAAATTCTCTCCGCTGCTAATAACATCAAGATAAATGTAGGAAAACGGATTTAACTAGAATAAGCCGAACTTCATCGGTACTGGACAGTGAACCCCCCAAACCTACAATATACTCAATTAATGGCAAGCGATGTTGTGCCAATGTCACTGGGTCAAAACTCTAGTAAGCGTTCAGCAGTGGCACCCTTTCAGAGCCTAACTGCCATGCCACCCGAAGGATGCATAAGGGCTGGGATACAACCAGGTTGCCCAAGCCTAGACAGGGGAAGTCGAGAGGCAGAGGTCGGGTTCGAACCCAGGACTTTTCGGCCAATAAATTCGCGCTCTAACCAATCGGATCATCTTGCCCCACAAACTGGTAAGACTCCAAAGTGACTCGAGGACACGAAGTGGTTAGGTTGATATAAGAAAAGTCAATCTTACCAAAGGAGACTGAAATGAACGAACATAGAAAAGCACAGTCACAGACTGCGTTAAAACTGCCAACAGAGAGTGCATTCGCTGTCGGTTAGCTTGGCTTTACGTGACACTGTCTAGCTGAACTGAAAACGACCGAGGTGCCGAAAATACTGAGAAGCGTCACCTCGATAGGATTACAGAGCTGAGTAGTTCCAATGTGAACAAAATTGACTGGCTAGGTGAGAAAACTGACCATGGGAAGAATGCAAACTCCTCTGAACAGTCAAACGGAGTCCGTTGAATCGGACCACAACATAACACGGAAATAGGATGCACCAGTGAAACAGAAGAATAATCAATTACGTATAACGAAAAGGTATCCGAGGAGCCTATCAAACTTGAAGAACACAGACCACAACACAACTGAAATTGCGTGTGAACCAATGAGATTTAGGAAAGCACTGACCAGCAGTTTCACGCACATAAAGTTTCATAAGAAAACAGTGCCACCTCCTAGATGCGACTGCTGTAGAAGCATACACTCGGCAAGTCCGAAACAACCGAGTAAGAAAAGCGGCAGTGTGGAGCACTTTCACCACAGTTAACCTACTCGCAAATGGTCGAAAAACTTGAACTGCTAGAGAATAAAGGTTGCACTGATACTGTGCGGTAATCAACATGCTAAAAACAGCACCGCTTCAACAGACTGATAGAGATAACACATGACGAATGATGTAACAGTTTCACCTGGTTCAGACACATGGCGATGAGTGGATCATGTTCTTTGTGAATCAATCTAATCGCATCGTCAAACAGCAGCGATCCGGGCACTCCACACGTTGGAAGTGTAGACTGAACTTGTCTCGTAGTTCTACCGGGTCCTGCATGCGGAACGGGCCTGAGAGATTCGTCCTGAATAGAATGGATGGAAAAGTTCATTGAATGGAAGGTCTGTCTAGGTGTCAGTGCAAGAACCATTATTCAAACAAACAACTCACAGAGGTCGGGACTTTTTCAGCAACGCTGCTGCTGGCTGAAGAAGATTCCAGCGTGAACGTCGGCTTTGCAACGGGACTTGGAGGTGATACCGATGTGGGAACGACAATAGACTGAATAACACGAGGTTGACGGAAAACATGTCGAACTATGGTATCGTCCACAGTTGGCTGACGCACCAAATAACACCAGAGACGTTTAGTCGGAAGGGAAAATGGATCCCGGGTCCTGGAAGGTAAATGTGACAGTACACAATCAGGGTGTCCATAGACCAGCTCCTGAGGCGTACAGTGACGGGTGTCAAAAGGCGAAATGCAATGAGTAGCTATACTCAGTGAGAACAAGCTATCAGCTGTCACTAGTGTGATACAACTGATTACAAAAAGCGAGGGCGAATAGATTGAATCAAGTGATGAATGGGACAGAAGAGACAATGAGTACTAAATATTACTTACTGGAACGGTGTTTTCGTGGGATCTGTCAGGTGTCGCAATCGTAACATTGAGCGAGTGGCCCCGGCTGACGGGAATTGGGAAGAAACTTCGGCCAATTCGGGTTTGTCCCCAAGTGCACCGGCAACCGACTTGCCGGGCCCAGGAACACCTTCCAGATGTGACTCGATATCCGGTAGAAATTGGGGTGGTGGAAGCAAATGATGTTCCGGCGCGTGGGACAGGTGTGTCAAGCTGAGTGGAGTTAGAGTTGGCGGAGCAGTCAGTCCCACACGATAACCAGCCATCCACATATCAACCGACCGGGAAGCAGCTACCAGACCCGGTGCATGGACAGCCAGATCTGTGTGATAGAGCGAAGAGGAAAAAGGTTTGGTGGCACCAAAGAACTAGAATAGACGTGCGCGAGATTACTGTTCATATGATTTATCACGTGACCGATCGTGTATACTTTCCTGATCAGTTCTACTAAGTGCTGAGCTCCGCACATCTGATCACGTTCATACCAACATTATCCAGGCACAAGCGGTTGAAAAAACACCTACCGACGGTTGGAGCTTCAGGTCGCTGGATCTTTCAGCTGTAGCGCCCTTTCGTTGCCTAACTGCCACGTCACCAGAAGAAATCACCAGGGTTGAGATACTGCCAGGTTGCCCAAGCCTAGATGGAGGTCGGGTTCAAACCACGGACCTTCCGGTTGGTCAATTCACGCTCTAACCACTGAGCAATCTCGCCATGGAATTTTAAAAGCCGCTATACAGATTCGACCAATTCCATCACGATACTCATCTGCTTGCACGTTCAACAATCGGTTACCCAATCGGTCTCCAGTTGTAAACACACTAGCTTGATAAAAGGTTAAACAAGATTGTACAACTAGCACACGTATCGAGATATACTAAACTACTTTTTCGGATAAGCTTCGGTTATGTACTGAAAGCCTCTGGGATGTCCTCAGCAACGGTCAACAAACCAAGGTCAAAACTCGGGAGGCACAAGTGACGCGGGATGTTTGAATACGGTGCACTTCTGTTTTACCGGCACCGTGGTCTTCAAACACATACGGACTTGCACAGGAAATCCCAATATACCCCCCCCCCCCTGCATATCACTATCGGGCATCTGGCGTAAAAAGTAGCATTCTTAGGCTCTGTAAAGCGCACGTGTAGGTGGCCTACAGCATACTTCGCCGCCTGGGAAATTCCGTATTCTGATCAACAAACCGGTGAGCGGACAAACCTGGCAAGTTCGATATAGAAGAGAATGTTGGCAGCTCAACATTACCAGAAAAAACAACATTAGTGTTGATACGGACGCTTCGCTTTCACACAATCACAAAGTTTATTTAATTATGGGGTTTTGCGGGACAGGTATTTTCGTTCATAGTCACACCACTCTCGTTTGACCGGCCGTGTTCCTGTTCTGGCGTATTATTCCGGCGAGTCCACACCAAAGGGACTCGAGTTTCGCTCTTATTAGAGCTCATCAGTAGTGCATATCCAATGGCCGTGCCGGGATTTGAGCCCCGGACATCTGACACGTGAGGCGAGCGTGTAACTACTACTCCACCAATGCACGTTGGAAGTATCTGAGTTTTTACATCTGAACAGGCGAAACGTGTTCACACTTGAGCGATGTGATTGGTGTGCCCGACTCATCGAACGACGACCCAGTAACTGTCCTGGTTGTGACGATCGATTGACCCGCCAGTCAGGTAGCGTGGCACACGCTTGAAACCCACTGGGCACATCTTTGGTTGCAATTATGGGGTTTTGCGGGATAGGTATATTTGTTCATAGCCACACCACTCTCGTCTGAACGGCCGTGTTCTTGTTCTGGCGTAATTATTCTGGTGAGTCCATTACATCCAAAAAAAATTGAGGCGGAAAAGGGAGAAAACCATGGATGAGGAAGGGACCTGGTGCTAGCCTACTACTACAAGCATTCAGATGTGCCTACACCTCCACGCGCACAAGCAGACAATCTGAAAATAGACTGACAGCACGGAGGCAACTGATATCGATCAGCTGCAATTCCTTGCAACCAAGCGCAGGAGAGATCAAGGGGACCGGAAAGCAAACAGCGGCAACAACACTTCGTACTCTCTTTCACACCCTTCTGTCAAGTCATATGTTGTCTATTTCGCAAGCTTGTGCCATCGTGAAAGAGGCACCAAGAACAGCACTAGTCTCCCCGACTCATTTTAAAGGGTAAATGATCTCACTGTTCTCTGACCTTGACAGTACGTCACCAACAGCAGGTGTTTAAGATTGCGGTGCGATACTAAAAAGGTAAACGACAAGAAAGGAGTTTTGCCACGAGTTAACAGGCTTTCCTGTTGTCCGACACAAGTGTCAGAGGTGTATGTTTCACTGAATGGGAGTCTCCCAAGAACTAGCGTCGTTTGGGACACAGAAAGATGTCGACCAGGCTTTCCTGTTGTCCGAGGTGTATGTTTCACTGAATGGGAGTATCCCAAGACCTAGCGTCGTTTGGGACACAGAAAGATGTCTGGCTTCTTCACGTCCGTAGCGCTCGAAACCGGGAGTTCCGAACCAATGTTTCATAACGGGACTTTTCTCGCATCAACGGTGTGTTGATCAGAACGGAGCAAATTGTCGATTGAAATGACTGTTATTAGTGTGCACGAGGACGGTTACACACAATGAAGGATTCTACGAACAGTAACACCAAACACAACGGAAGGGAGCAGCTAAAGTCATGTTTCGGGATCCTTGAATGCCAATACCACAGAACTCTGTCGTCAGGCTGTTTGACAAAACTTATGCGTATCGAAACTCGGCAAGTTCTGTGGAAATATCTAATCGTCAGTGAGTGAGTGGACGGACGAATTCGCGATACAGGCTGACTCCTCTGCCAGTGTTCTTTCTGACAATGAGAGAGCTGTTGTTGTAGCACGGGTTACAATGGCAGACCGACGTTGTGATCAACTTTCTCTCCATAACTCGAGTGGCGATACGTTTTAGTTGGAATACAAACAAAACATTTGAGAAAAATGTATATGCCTCGGTGTGTGCTTACCGTCTGAACTGAAATCCAGTAGCTGAATGAGTCGATCGATCTCTAATTTGGCCAGCTGCATAATGCTTAAACGCATTAAACGCCAAGCATAACTGTCCCCATTAGCCCATTGTTTTTCAGCTTCCAACGATGTCATTTTCTGCACGCCATCGTCATTCTCATCTTCATCCTCGGATGACTCACTCCGGAACGCTCCTTTATGGTCCGCCGATTCCCACGCAGTCCCAAGACAAAATGAGGAATCGATTATATCTGGGTCCAAGCACAACAGTCGCAGGATCCAACGGGGTTGTTCGGAAGTAGTAGCGGTGCCGTTTGTGGCAAGCTCCGGATACAACTCCTCGAGACGTTGAGGAACACGTGCTTGATCCTCTTCATCGCTCGAATCAACAATTCCCGTACGTTTGGCTAAGCGTCGCCGTAACTCTTCTTTCGCTTTGCGTTGAGCAGCCCGGTTGTTGGCCGATCTTGAACGCCCATAAGCACGCCTTAACCTACGCTGTCGTGTAGCCAGGGCAGACGTATAGCCCTCGTACCCCTCCGGGGGTTCACTTGCATCCGAATCGAATATCTGACTGGGATCGTCTGGCAGTGCTCCTTGTGGTAATGGCTAAAAACAAATGGGGCGAATTTGTAGTATTTGAAAATTGGTACATGACAAGCGAGGAAGAGCAGACCAGGTAGATTAACTACCCCTTGCGCACAATGGGAACAACTCACCCGACTCAAGAGACAAGTCAGCATGGAATATTGTGGAGGGACGAACCATTCATCTGGAGGTGGGGGCGGTTGCGCAGATGGCGGGACTACCTGACCGACCGATGTGACGGGAGGTTTCGCTGTGCCCGAAACCTCTGCATCGGCTTGGATGAAATCAGAAGGTGAAAAGACGAAGAATCAGTAGTTAAGAACTTCTAGGCGGCTGATGACAGGCAACCGAGCAACAGCAGGTTTTCAAAAAGAAAGTAGGGACCCCTCGATGGTATTTTCATCATTAAAAAATAAATAATTGTTCAGCTGTAGCAGCTCTTCAGTGCCTACCTACCATGCCATTAGATGGAAGCACGAGGGCTGAGATTCTGCCAGGTAACCCAAACCTGGACAAGACACACTCGAGATGCAGAGTCGGGATCGAACCACATTGCGGTCAATAAGCTCGCACCTTAATCACAGAGATCCGTTTTCTTACATCTCATCCACCCTTATACTCTCATTAGAACGAAGCATGAAAATATGGATCTATTAGTACACCAAGGCATATCTTCAGCTCGTTGGATTAAATATCGAGTTCAGCAAACGTGTGTGGTATCGATAACGTGTGCTCGTCCTAGCATTGTTGCACTAGGAAAGAAGTAAACAGAGACGCGCGATCTCATCGTTCAGCTGTAGCACCCTTTCGGAGATGCAGAGTCGGGATCGAACCACGTACATTGCGGTCAATAAGCTCGCACCTTAATCACTGATATCAGTTTTCTCACATCTCACCCACCCTTATATTCTCATTAGAATGAGGCATGAAAATATGGATCTATTAGTACCCCAAGGCATATCTTCAGCTTGTTGTATTAAACATCGAGTTCAGCAAACGTGCGTGGTATCGGTAACGTCTGCTCGGCCTAGCAATGTTGCAATAGGAAAGAAGTAAACAGAGACGCTGTTCAGCTGTAGCACCCTTTCGGTGCGTAACTTCAATGCCACAGGGAGTAAGCACGAAGTCTGGGATACTGCCAGGTTGCCCAAGCCTAGACAGGGGAAGTCGAGAGGCAGAGGTCGGATTCGAACCACGGGCTTTTCAGTCAGTAAATTCGTACTCTAATCATTGAGCTATTTCATGCCATTAGGTGTTTACTCTATGCGAAAAATCAATGTGATGTAACACGGAAGAGGAAGCGCTTACTTTGTGACGGTTGCGGGTGGATGGTACCAGATTCCGAGATAGAAGTCCCACGTTTGGTGGCCCGAATAGCGGCAAGTCGACTATGAGCACCGCCACTAGGAGAAAAGAGAAGAGAATTTCAGGAAGAGAAAAACGAACGATCACGCGCCCCCGAACGAACAGTCGAGGATCCGAGCACAGTATTAGTTGCTCCTCCATCAATAGGGAGATTCATGAAACTCTTGTTCTCAAGCTTTTTGACTCCGAAGTTACAAAATTTAAAAAAAAAC